AATATTGTTTTTTCCTTTATCTTCCAAAAAGCTTCCTACGCCTCCTCAGCTGGTTTCAAGAACTGGCCTACNTTTCATCAATAAAAAAATAAAATGAAAATATTGTTTTTTCCTTTATCTTCCAAAAAGCTTCCTACGCCTCCTCAGCTGGTTTCAAGAACTGGCCTACAATGAAATCGTTGTATGGACCACCCAAGAACTTCAGCTCCATTTTACCCTCCGAAACAAGTATCTGGAAATTTTCCCATTCCTCCGGTTCAGTATTGAAATAATTGGCTGCTCTTTTTGTCGCGAAGACTCTCTCGCACAAAAGGTTCTCATCCCCGGCGCCGGATTTAGGGGTTGGAGCTAGAAAATTGCCTTTAACTTTGAATCCATAGGAGATTCGTGGGGACGATCAAGACAAAATTTGTGGTAAATGTTCTAATAAAAACTATGGAAGAAAAAAACAAGAAATTCATCGATTCAATGTCAAGATATAAATAGCAACATATAATAAATTCGCTCTGAATAAATAAATAAGCTATTGAAAAAAAAAACACTGATATTCGGAATTACAAAAAAAAAATTCATTAACTTCAATTTTTTAAATGGAAAACTTTTTTTTTCCATCTGATCTTCACGCGGCTCTGGGGGATGAATGGTTGGGAATAGGGGTAAAGTGCCCCGAACATTTTTTGTGTCGAATTTTGAGCTCTACAACTTTGTATACTACGTTTTTGGACGTACAGCGCGTTATTCACGAGTTATTTCAAAAAAACGGTTTTCAGGGGTAGTTTTTTGGCTTTTTCAACCCCCGCACAAACTTGGGGAACCTGAAAAATCCGCATTTAGTTTCATACGCCCAAATCACAAATCGTATCAAAAATGGAGCCTGATTAGCAAACATTCGTATGTTAGACCTTTGTTCATTGCACTACTCCGGACTCACTCGACGCCGGAGAGCCGTTCGGGGTTTCTCCGCGCTTTTGAAAATTCATTCCTCCGCTCCTACTTGAGATTAAGTAATGAAAGCGCTGTCATTTATTGAGAATTTCATTCTCTATCGATCGGCTTCGGTTTCATTCCTTCATCTCAATTAGGGTGTGAGAAATGAATTTTCCAATCGGGAGAGCCCCTCCGGGCTCACTCGACGTCGGAAAGCCGTTCGGGGTTTCTCCGCGCTTTTGAAAATTCATTCCTCCGTTTCTAACTGAGATTAAGAGATGAAACCGATGTCATTTATTAAAAATATAGTTCTCAATCGGTAAGCTTTGGTTTCATTAATTCATCTCAATTACGGAGGGGAGAAATTAATTTGTGAATGAGAAGAACTTGTTCGGAGTTACTGCGCGCTTTGAAAATTCATTCCTCCTCTCCTAATAAAGATTAAGAAATGAAACCACTGTCATTTATTGAGAATATTATTCTCGATCGATAGATGTTGCGTTCATTCCCTCTTCTCAATTAGGGCGGCGGGGGGCGGGAGGGGGAGAAATGAATTTTCTAATCGGGGGAGCCCCTCCGCGCTCACTCGACGCCGGAGAACCGTTCGGGGTTACTCCGCGCTTTTGAAAATTCATTCCTCCGCTCCTACTTGAGTAGGATAGGATAGAATTTCTCGAAGATTCCAAAAAGCTTCATTGTTCTTCGTGCATGAAAAATGGGGATCTTCGGGAAACTCCTTGCGATCGCAAGACTTTTACCGATTTATTTTTCTCCGTGTGACGTCCGTATAAAAGATCAAAAAATCAATTTAACAATGGGATAAATGGAGTGGACAGAAAAACGTGAATATCTCGGAAATTAGATGCGATAAAATGGGCCCTTTTCACGTGGACGTACACATATAATTGGACTGAAATTCATAGAAGTTTTAATTTGCAATGACGAAATTCCTTGAAATTTCCGTAATGTGGCAACGCGATAAAAATTCCCAATAAGTGTTCCCGGAACTTCCGCGAAAATATTACTGAAACCTACAGACATCATTCCTGAATTCAAGACTTTCCTTTGATTTTCAGGATCATGTCACTAGAAATTTTTTACAAAATGACTTAATTTAACATTGCTTGCTCATTGCATTTCAGAAATGCAGCTGCCTAAAAAAGACACATCGATTCCTAGTAACAATGTTTTTTTTTCTCGGTAAATACAGACAATAGAGAAATGTCAGAGTGGAATTCCCGGATTTTTTTTCACTCTCGATTAATTTTTTAAAGATTCAAATTGATACTTGATTCATTCACATCGTTCCATTCCATCGGGAGATCTTGTCGATTGGATACACTTTTTTATGGTCAGTGAAGGAGGCAAACCATTCATCTAAATCTCGCAATAATCTGCGAGAAATATTATTCATTAATCTATTATTATTGAATTAATCCCATTATGTGTAGATCGCTGGAGAACAACGAAAACGTTCCAACCGTTGAAACGACTTGGAATGTTTTCTCTCTCCTCCTTCTCCATTTTCTTTCTCACTCGCACTCGTTAAGTTTGGCGGAGAACGGGCACGTGCCAACGCGACGGAGACGACAATGAGTGGGACACAAAATGCAAGCGGACACAGACCTCCCCCCAACCATACTATTGGAAAGTCCTTGAAGGAATTGGCAACACTTCTACTCAACTTGGGCGACGAGGTAAAGAATAAATTTCACCTAAATCAGCCAAGAGATTCATCTTACGTAACAATTCACCCGAAAGATATTTTGACTTTTAATACGTTTAAAGACTTACTCAAAAAAGAAAAAATAGAATACTACACGTATACTCCTAAAAATGAGAAATTGAAGACTGTAGTAATGAAGGGATTATTCGGAGATTTTAGCGATGCTGAAATTTTAAATGAACTCAAAGAATTAAATTTAAAAGATGTAGAAATTTTAAAAGTTACAAAAATAGTATTCAATAAAAAAACAAATTATTTTGGATATCTAATTCAAGCAACTAGTAACTCGATCTTAGCTGAGTCAACTAAATTAAAAGTACTCCTTTATCAAAGGGTGCGTTGGGAACCCCTTAGAAGGGATAGTCTTTTCCAATGCAAGAAATGTCAGAGACTAGGTCACTCGATTGCTAATTGTTCTTTGACTTTTCGTTGTGTTAAATGTAGCAATAATCACAAACCCGGTGAATGTACTCTTTCCAACGATTCCGATAGAAACTTATTAAAGTGTGCTAATTGCAAACTTAATGGACACCCAGCTAATTATAAGGGTTGCCCATATTACAAAAGCGCGTTTGGATTTATTGAAGAGAATCTTCAGAAATCGAAAAAGAAACAAAATGATAAAATCCAATTAATTAACAATAGAATCACTCCTGGTATATCATTTGCGGACACGGTTAAAGTCAAAAAACGCTTCGAGTCTCAAATAAATGAACAAAATAAGATTCAATCACAGAAGAAAAAACAACAAGCAGATTAAACTTACAGTAATGATAATAATCGATTAAGACACCCCGTTGTTATTGAGGGGTCGCTTGGGCGTCTCGACTTCAAAATGATATTGTCTCTGCAATTACAAATAATCTAAATCAAGTCACAAAACAAGTGGAGATAAACCAAAAAAACATTGAATTAATTCTTAAACACCTTGGTCTCAATGGCATCGACGAGAATTAATTCTACCTCCAATAACGATGATACAGATAACTCATTAATAATACAGGGCCTAAACATGATCTCAATTAATGTTAATTCAATTGTTCGACAACAAAGACGGTATTATCTACAATCATTCCTAGATAAAAATAATATCGATGTTGCTCTAATTTGTGAGACTAAACTGAATAAAAATCACAACAAAATTTGATAACTACAATTTGATTAGAAATGATAGGAATAAATCTAAATTCTCAGGAGGAACCACAATAATTATTCGTAATGATATAAAATACACAACGATTAACTACCCGAGTTCTCTCAACAATTTAATATTGGAGTACACAATCATTAAAATAAAAACATTAAACTCCAAAACATTATTTATCATCGGCATCTATGCTACGAATGCTTATAATCGCGGTAACATTTTTCACGATGAATTAAACACTCTATTTAACGAATTAAAATTATTTGATGACGACGTCTTCTACATTATTATGGGAGATTTAAACGCTAGACACCAATCGTATGGAGATTCTTGTCGTAACGATAGAGGTCGACACCTACACCACTGGGAGCTAGAAAATGAACATAAATTCAAATTAAATATAATTCCCCCAATAGATTGCACATTTATACAATCACAATCCTTTCTAGACTTAGTTCTAATTGATTCGAGATTAAACATCGATAATCTAATAGATAACAAAATACGAACACACATTTTTGATAGTGATCACAAGGCTCTAATTGTTTCTATTCAATTGGATTACTCTTTGAGTATAAACATCGATAATAATCTTGAAAATAATTTTTATCTATATAAACAAACCAACTGGAACTTATATTCCAGATACTTACATGATAATTACGAAATAAAAATTCCTGATGATAAAAACTTATCCAATCAAGAAATCGATCAATACATTGAAGATTTTTCTAATTACATCATCAAATCAATTGAAACACAAATTCCTAAATGTAAACCAAAAGGAAATATTTATAAATATTCCAACGCTAAAATCAATAAATTACAAAAAACTAAATCCAAATTGCTAACTATTTACAATAAATGTCTGAAAAAAGATAAAATTAAAGCCTCAAACTCAAAATATTCACAATTTATTAAAAAGTTGTAAAAAAAAACTCAACTCTGCATTCAGCACGGCAGTTGAAAAACATTGGCAAAATATATATAAACAAATTGATTTCAGAAACACTGAAAAATTTATGCCTACTATAAATAATATTTTTAGACCAAAAAAAAACAAATTATTAAAGAATTAAGAATTAAATCAACCTATGATTCCCTTTTAAACGAGGCTCACTGTGATATCGGCCGAATTCCCATCGACAATAATGAATTTGTTGTCAGTGAGGAATCAGATTTGATTAATGTATTGGGAGCTCATTATCAAAGAGTTAATTCCCCACGCTATTTAAACGAAAACTCAAGACTAAAAGAACTAATTGATACGAAAATCGAAACTTTCAAATCCGAAACGCTCAATGACATAAATAATCAACGCACTCTCACTAAATTTGATATTAATAACATAGCTACAAAAGCTAGTTTAAACTCTCCTATTGATAACTACTTTACCGACGCCTCTACGGTAAAATTAATTCTGAAATACTTACCTAATAAAATATCTAGCGTTTTGGATAAAATCCCCCCAATAATTATTAAACATCTTCCTAAATTAATGATTTTGGATCTAGTAAAGATCCTCAATAATTGTTTGAACAATTACTACTTCCCTACTCAATGGAAAACAGCTCTAGTAATTCCAATACATAAAAAAGATAAAAGTTTGTCTGATCCTGCAAGCTACAGACGGATCAGTATGACTCCATCATTAAGCAAAATCTATAAAGCCATAATAAATAACTCTATCTTATCGTACGAGAAAGAAAACAAAATAATTCCTGATAATCAATACGGTTTCAGGCACCATCACTCGACGATACACGCAGTCAATAAACTATTAAGTGATATACAAGAGAATATTTTTCAATGCAAAATGGTTGGAGCGGTCCTTTTGGACCTTGAAAAAGCATTTGACTCTGTCTGGCTAAACGGCTTAAGTTTTATTTTAATAAAAAACAAATTTCCACTCCCTTTAGTAAGGACAATTTGGAATATGATCCACGACAAAAACTTTAGAGTCTTGAATCATAATAATTTGACGAGCTCAATTTTTTATATTAAAGAAGGTTTGCAACAAGGTACGATCAACTCGCCTTGTCTCTTCTCAATATTTACCGCTCATATGATTGATGCTTTTGATCTCAATAATAATAATGAGACTTACTCAATAGCCTACGCTGATGATCGCATTATTTATGTAGCAGGAGACAATGGAAAGGAGATCTCGGATAGACGTAATATTCTGACAAATAAGGTCAATAATCTATATTCTGCTTGGAATCTTAGAGTTAATCCGCTGAAACGCGAAACTATTTTATTTAGAACAACTCGCTGTCATATGTCGGGAAAGAAAAGTCGTAGTATAAATCAATTCGAGATTAAAATAAAAAATCCAGATATCAATACGGAAACTATTATCCCTAATAAGGAAATTGTTAAGTACCTTGGTGTACACATAGATTACTTAGTTCGTTGTTCTAAACACTCTGATATCCAAATAGTAAAAGCCAGAAATCGGTATAAATCTCTTGGCTTTTTATTCCACAATAAATTTATCAACAAAAGAGCAAGAATCATTTGCTATCTATTACTCATCAGACCTTTACTGACATATGGCTGTGAAATTATATGGAATATGGGTGCTCACCAGATGGAACGATTGAGATTATTCGAGAGAAAATGTCTAAGAGCTTGCCTTTTCATGTACAGATCTCCACACTCCGATTATCAGCGTAGTGTGAGTAACAAAGCGCTATATGATAGAGCGGAAATTCCGAGAATAGATAACTTTATCCTTAGATTGGCCAGGAATTATTATAATGAAATTAAAAACATCAAAAACGATACTATAAATGCTTTAACTGAATTCCCAATGGAGGAGGCAATCGAATGGGCCAGATGCAATGACATCAAACCCCAATATTTAATTCAGTACGACAGGATGGGCCTGTTCCAAGATGAATGGAACAGGCCCATTTTATTCCATATTAAAAGACACAAAAAAATTCCTTTAGATGATCTTGAGTCTAAACCATTTGTTTATTCGAGAGTTATTCCAAGAGTAGATATTGATAACTTTGATAGAGTAAAAAATTATTGGTGGCTGGATGCCGATGATAGATTTATTAGAGAGCTCACTGCTCGTCAAACAATTTACAAACAGCTAAATAAAAATAAGCATTATCAAAGAAATAGATATCATAGGAATAATTTCCGTCCTCCTTGAATATTTTCATAACTATATTATTATTAATAATAAATACGCAGACTGTGATTGCGAAAACAAGTACAAAATTATAAATACAGTCTAATTTATTTACTTTATTATACAGTTGCTTTATACCAAGAATTTACATATTTGTAAGTGTTTCTTCTATTAAAAGTTTCACAATAGGTAATTTTTGAAAAAAAAAATTATATTAATCATCCCTTCTACTGCGGATACCCTGTCGTGCCTTTTTTTTTTCAATTACAGCAAAATCTAAAAAAAATTTCCTTTTTTTAAAGGCACATTAGTATGTGTACACATTCATTTATCAATAGCATTGTTAATTGCATTCCAAAAAATATTATGTTATTATCAAATCAAATTTACAAATACAAAATTAAACCTGAGAGTCACTAATGGACCATAAGTTTACGAAATCGTATGAAAATACTTTACATATAAGTTTTTCAATTCTAGTTTTTAAGTTATGTAAATATGTAAATAATGTTTGTTAATGAATAAAAACCAAGAAAAAAAAAACAATGAGTGGGAGCGAGCGCGATACATATTCCTTTCTCACTCAGGGGGGGGGGAATAAATATATATAATCGAACATTACTATAGTAAGAAAAAACAAAATCTGCACAATTATTCAATGTCTATTCACACGGTCTACGGTAAATGTTACCGTGGATATAGGATATATTTTACCATGGATATAAGGTAAGCAGTGGGGTACGTTAGGCCCATTTTTTTACCATGGATATAAGGTAAAGCAGTGGTGTGCATCGGGCCCATTTTTACCGTGGATATAGGGAAGATTTTCACCGAGGATACAAAGTAATTTTTTTTTACCGTGCATATAAGGTGAGTGAATGGCGTGCAGTGTTTCCACATTTTACCGTGAATGCAAGGGAGATTTTACCGTGGATCTATGGTGATGTCTAACGTGTATATAAGGGAGATCAGTGGTAAGCATCGCGTAGGGAAATTATCTCGCCGATTTAGTTGTATTATGGGTTAGAGCCTTTAAAAATTCAAAGATCAGGGGGCGACGACCAGGGTTAAACGAGAGACGAATAAAGTTTGCAGGCCAATCAAATAAGGACTTTTTTTTGGCCGAAATCGAGGATGATAGAAGAAAGATAAAAACCATGAGATATCATGCGGAAGAATCATATGAAACACATACTAAGTTTTTGGGATTGTAGCAAACCGGGAAATTGTTTAAAAAGATTCAAAACTGCAAAATTAAGCGTCCACGCGACCTTTTTTGCTTTATGCAGACGAAACCCTGATAGATAGGATAAAAATGCATAACGCTTATTTTGTAGAGCATAACGTTTCCTACAAAAAAGTCAATGGCGGCATTTTCGCAACTTAAACCGTCAAGTCGCCAAGCGCGCTCAAAGTTGAACTACGAAAAAGCTGATTCGCCGCCAACGCCGAAAAGTCCATTTTAGTTACAAAATGCAAATAATTCTCCACAGAATGTCTTCAGGAGAGGAAATTTTTTAAAAAACATTTTTCAATTTTTCAGCAGTCCCCATTTTTTCCTTTTTTTTTCATTTTTCAACCAAAATTTGCCATAACTTTTGATCCAGTTATCTTATTGGAATAAGAACTTTGGTTCTCACGAGAAAAAATAACCTTTTGGTGATTTTTTCTCGTTCTCTCCTCTCCATTTTCACTCTTTTGACCTTTTCACTCAACTTTCATATTTAACTTATTATTTGTTGATAAACTAAAAAAATTGCTGTTTTTTCAATATATAATCTGACTGAAAAATTTTTGATCAAGCTCGTTAGTTTTATCCCAAACTTGAGTCATTGAGATCAATCTTGAATTTTTTCATCTTTTTCTTGGCATTTGTTGACGTAGATTTTTAATAAAATAAACCCTATAAAATATACCCTATATCCACGGTAAAATTTACCGTGAACCGTGTGAATAGACACTACCAATGTTTTTTTGGGCTCAAATGAAAGAGCGGCTCGAAAAATGCCGTGGAGAAGTCTTTAAAGATGACAAATGTCTCTAAAGATGATGTCTGTTTTCAACTGAAAAGCGCAATGGTGACAACATCGTCCAGTGGGGTCTAGGAGTCTCCCCTGGTTCAAAACCATCTTTAGAGGCATCAGCACACCATTTTTCGAGCCGCGCTTTCATTCGAGCCCAAGAAAACATTCATATCTTGTCTGACACCTCTGCTACAAACTCTGGTTTTCAATTAAAACCAGAGTTGAAGACCAGAGTTGTTTTCAATTAAAACCAAAGTGATGTCAGACAAGATATGAATGTTTTATTGAGCTCAAATGAATAAGCGGCTCGAAAAATGGTGTGCTCATGCCTCTAAAGATGGTTTTGAACCAGGGGAGACTCCTAGACCCCACTGGACGATGTTGTCACAATTGCGCTTTCCAGTTGAAAACAGACATCATCTTTAGAGACATTTGTCATCTTTAAAACCATCTTCCACGGTAAAAAGTGGAAACACTGCACGCCATTCACTCCCCTTATATGCACAGTAGAAAAAAGTTACTTTATATCCACGGTGAAAATCTTCCCTATATCCACGGTAATAATGGGCCCGATGCACACCACTGCCACGAGGTGGCCTCTTCTCTTCTCGATTCAATTTCTCAGAAGTGAAAGATTTGTGGTACTTTTGTACTTTTGGGACCCGCTGCGGATTTTACCTTATATCCACGGTAAGAATTACCTTTTATCCACGGTAAAAAAAATGGGCCTAACGTACCCCACTGCTTACCTTATATCCACGGTAGAAATGACCGTATATCCACGGTAAAATATAGCCTATATCCACGGTAAAATTTACCGTGGACCGTGTGAATAGACACTGCCTTTCAAAATTGAGATACCTAACGGTCACTACCCATGATTAGTTAGTGTTTTATTATCCACCATGGAAAATGACAGCTAATAGATAATTTTCCACAGCGAATTAGATATCTGTAATTTCCACTTTTTTCAACTCATTCTGAATCTCAATTAAAAACGCTTTTTGAAAAAGTTCAGAATTTTTTCTATTTTTTTTATCATTCTATCATAATTTTTGGGAATTTCTACATAATGTACCACTCAATTGACAATTTTGGATTACTAAAGATAAAACAAATCCAGATAACATTTAAAAAATAGTACACCCGAGCCTTAAAGCCTGAGAAAATATCTTTGCATGAAAAAAAAATGTAAATTTTCAGCTTTCAATCTCGAGTAATTGATAAGAGAAATTTTTGTTTAAATTTTAAAAAAAATTTACTTATCACTTTCTTTGAAGAAAATTCAATTTGGACATTGATTTTTCGTGGAAATTTCTCGATTTAAGCAAAATAGTGGAATTTTGGTATTTCTGAAGATATTAAATTGTATAATCAAGCAGTTTTCCCGTACATACATATCCAAATAGAGATCTTAAAATTTCAGGAATTCAGTCATCAAATGAGGTAGAAGAAGTGAAGTGAAATAAACCACATAAATTCATAAATATAAATGAATGTATCGAGTTTCATTTCGAAGCCTAAAAAATTAGTTTCAACCAAAAAAAAAGTCCTTGAATTTCAGTCGATGAATCTCGAGTAATTGATGAGAGAAAATGGTTTATTTTTGTGAAAGCCTAATCCATAGTTCTATTTTTCCTTTACAAAAATTTCGCTCCTTTTTCTTGGAATTGACATATCACTATTCAGTCATTTTGGTATCTACTACATAGATAGCTGCATATGGTTCGATCATGTCGCAAGGATCAGGATGTCTAACTTCTCTCAGATGACTTGAATATAACTCCCACCAGGCGATTGATTCACTCCATCCGTGACAATAAGCAACAAATCCTTCTTGTGAATGAGCGATTATTCCAGCTAGCCTGCATCGTTGAAAAAAAAAGTTAGTAAGCTTGAATTCCCTAAATATTCATTGATAGAAAAATATAACGAAAAGTGTTTACCTGTATGTCATGTCAAGAGTTAAACATATCGGTATCTCTCGTAATTTACATTGCACGGTTTTCTGGGATCTTCCTCTTATTTTCATCTTTAAATTTATGAAAATGTGAAAATTACAGTGGCAATGGACTGAACACGTTCTCTTACAACCTTCCTTAATACAGGGGACTTTCTTCAACGCTGGGTAGAATTCGAGTGCTTGTTGCAAGACAGTGAAATTATTCCGATAGATCAGCTGACTATTAATATTTATTGGAGAAGGGCACGACGTAGGGACACATTGTTGGCACTCAAATGTTTTGTAGATATTTGGTGTATTTGGTAAACATGATTGCCACAAGTAGCTGATTGGATCATGGAGATATAGACTGTATATATCATTCCCTACTTCTCTTTGAGTCTTCGTAGGGAATAGATCCATCAACAAAGCCGCCCTATCTGCATATACAGTTGCATCGAAC